CCACTCCTCGGAAGGAAGGTTGGGCAATCCTACTTCCGTAGTGATACTGCCTCGGAAACCCAAGGAGGGGTCGCTATGAGTCAGGGCGGAAACCCAAGGAGGGGTCGCTATGAGTCAGGGCTGACTCGACGGCACATAACAACAACAACAACAAATTTTAAGAGAATAAATCTTTGTTTGTTAAAGTCACCCATTTGTGGTATTTCTGTTAGAGTGGCACAAGAGACCCAAAACAAAAAGCGTCAATAGTCAGTAGTCAAAAACTTCTCATAGAGAAAATCCAAGGATCAAACGGCTTCACTGGTAAATTTTACCAAACATTTAAGTAAGAATTAACACCAATCCTTCTTAAAAGCTTCCAAAAAATAGAATAGGGACATTTCCTAACTTATTCTAGGAGGCCAGAATTACACCGATATCAAAGCTAGACAGAAACATCACGAGAAAACACTACTTATGAATATACATGGAAAAATCAACAAAATGCTACCAAACTGTATTTAATAACATATAAAAGGCAAAAACCACAAGATCATCTCAATAAATGCAGAAAAAGTATTTCATATAATCCCACTCTGTTTCATTATATAAACACTCAACAAACTAGGAATAGAAGGGAACTTCTTCCACAAGATAAAGGGCATGTATGAAAATCCTACAGGTAACATAACACTCAATGGTAAAAGAGTGACAACTTTCCCCTCCAAGATCAGGAAGAAGACAAGATGCCTTCTTTGACCACTTCTATTCAACAATGCATTACTGGAAGTTCTAGGCAGGGTAATTTGGCAAGAAACTGAAATAAAAAGCATCTCGATTGGAAACGAAGAAGCAAAATTATCTCTATTTGCAGATGACATGATGTTGTAGAAAGAACTCACTAAAAAACCAGTAGGGCTAGTAAGGAAATTCAGCTGGGTTATAGGATAAAAGACTGGTACACAAACAATTGTATTTCTATACACCAGCAATGAACAATCTGAAAATGATATTAAGAAAACAATTTTACAGTGGTAATTAAAAAAAATTCTCAGGAATAAATTTAACAAAAAGATATGCAGGATGTATACACTGGAAACTACAAAACACCACTGAAAGAAATTAAACGGAAAGACATCCTGTGTTATGAATTGGAAGACAGTATTGTTAAAATGGCAAAACCAGCCAAAGCCATCTACAGACTCAAGACAAATTCCATAAAAATCCCAGCTGGCTTTTTTTTTTTTTTTGCAGAGATTGACAAGTTGATCGTAAAATTCATACGGAAATGCAAGGGACTCTGAATATTCAAAACAATCTTAAAAAAGAACAAAGTTGGAGGACTCACACTTCTGATTTCAAAACTTACTACAAAGTAACAGTAATCAATACTGTGTGGTACTGGAACAAGGACAGACATACAGATCAATCTAATAAAGCTGAAAGTCTAGAAATAAACTCATACACTATAGTCAACTGATATTTGATAAAGGTGCCAAGACCATTCAATGGGGAAAAGCATAGTCTTATCAACAAATAGTGCTGGGAGAACTGGATTTCCACAAGTCAAAGGATTAAGTTGAACCCCTACCATCATCATATATAAATATTAACTCAAAATATTCCAAACACCTAAATGTAAGAGCTGTAATGATAAAACTCTTCTTTCTGGTGGCCCTGATTGAGGCAATGGGTTTTTAGATATACATAAGCAACCAAAGAAAAGATAAATTGGACCTGACATCAGAAGTAAAAACTTGCTGTTTACTCTTCCTCTTGCCTGACCTTCAGATTTTGGGACACAGGACTGCAGGAGTCTCCAGCCTGTAGCTTGATGTACATATTTTGGACTTGCCAGCTCCCTACAACTGCGTGAGTCAAATTCCTTAAACGCTCTCTCTACGTATATATACACACACCTTACTGGTTCTGTTTTCTTAGAACACTAAGTTCCCCCCCCCCCCAGGGTAGGGGGAGCAATGGCATAGCAGGGAGTGAAGGGCAGAGGGAAAGATGAGGAGTTGTTGCTAATGGGTGTGGGGGCTAAGGGTATGGAGTTTCTTTTTGGGGTGATAAAAATGTTCTGGAACTAGACAGTGGTAAATATCTAAAAACCAACGAAACAGGACAGTTAAAAGGGTAAATTTTATGGTATGTGAATACAAAAAAAAAAAAAAAAGAAAAAAACCCCCAAAAACCACCCCAAACTCACTGCTGAGTCATTTCTGACTCACAGTGACCCTTCCTTGGGTTTCTGAGGCGCTATCTCTACAGAAGCAGATTGCCCAATCTTCCTCCGGAGGAGTGGCTGCTGTGTTTGAACCACCAGCCTGCTGGTGAGCAGTCAAATGCCTCAGGCACTATGCTACCAGAGCTCCCATGTGAATTATAGCTCAACAGAAAAATTCAACCCTCTTACAATTTCAGAATTGAATGATGTAGTGAATCCCTGTCACCAACAGGAATATGTCCTCATCCCTCAGTTGTATTGAGGTAGCAGAAAATAAAATGGATTAGATGTGTAGTCAAGTGGCTCAGCAATACTCCCCCTAAACACCAAAACCAAACCCAGTGCCACTGAGTCAAGTGTGACTCATAGTGAACCTATAGGACAGAGCAGAACTGCCCTACAGGGTTTCCTAGGCTGTAAATCTTTACGGAAGCAGACTTATTAAAACACTGCAAATACTGATAATCCTTCAAACACACAACTGAATATGAAACAGTTTAACATTTTCCTCATCAATTAAGTAAAAATATTTCAGTATACATGTACAATTACTCATACCCAACTTTTTAGAACTTAGGATTTTTACAAGAATACTGAGCCAACTAGGTTAAAAAATCTAGTACAGATTTAACTTATTACTAATCACTAATGTATTTTAAGAAATCTTTCTTCTAAAACTCATCCCTTCATCCCACAAATATTTATTGAGCACTTACTATGTGCAAAGAAAGCACTTATAATATACTCTTCTAGGTACAGGGGATACAGTGGTGAAAGACACAGTTAAATGCCCCTGCTGTCGTGGAGCTGAGATTCTGGTACAGGGAGATCAACCACAAGCAGAGGGATTAAAAATGATCGGAGAGTAAATGGCGACCTTGAAGAAAATAAAATGGATTATCTCAGTTGAGTGTCCAAGGGGACATTGCTACACAGGACATCTCCACTCTTGGGGTCTTATTTGGACAGGAAAAACTAATGTGAAAATATGAACAGAAAGTGTCGGTGTTTCTGTCATGAGCATATTTTGTCTCGGAAACACATGTAAAAATTTGGGAATGCAATCACCAAAGCAGCCTTCGAAACACAAGTGGATGAATAATACTCAACAGCACAATATTTTTATTTTATTATTTATTTCTTTTAATACAAAGCTTTGGCATTAGCAATTTTATGAAAAAATAAAATGTACTAAAAATAAATGCTTGTGTGGCATGATTGGTAAATGATGCACAAAAATAGTTTTTTTTTTTTTTTCCTTCAAGGCAGTCAGTCAGAAAGCAGTCATTTTCTTCTTCAAAACCATTCTACCCTATGGAATAAAAGGAAAAAAGACAGAGGTCATAAATTAGTTAAACAATAGTTGTCAGTGTTTTAAAATAACAGAGAACATGATCTTAATGTGAACCAGTGTGGTCTAGGGGCTATCTCCAAACCATTTCCCAACCCCAATCTGAAAGCCAGTTAAGCATTAGCATTTCCCCGAAAGCCCTAGTTTTAGATGTGTAGTCAAGTGGCTCAGTAATACTACTCCTCCCAAACACCAAAACCAAACCCACTGCCACTGAGTCAAGTCTGACTCATAGTGAACCTATAGGACAGAGTAGAACTGCCCCACAGGGTTTCCTAGGCTGTAAATCCTTATAGAACCAGACTGCCTGATCTTTCTCTTGCAGAGTGGCTGGTAGGTTCGAACCACCAACCTTTTAGTTAGTAGCCAAATGCTTTAACCATGGCACCACCAGAGCTCCTTCAATACTCCCCAAAGGAATGAAGAAAAAAGTACAGTTCTAATAGCATTTTGGTTTTAAAAATACAGGGACAACTATATTTACATTTCCTGGTTTTAGTGTTCTGAAATCTGCAACTATTGTCTTTGAAATATGCTCCCTTTTACCCCTCAAATAACATTGCCATTATTTATTTTGAAATGAGATTCGAAGAGCACAGACTTCCAGGCTCTCTTTACAGCAATTCTCCAGATTTCTTGGGGGAAGTGTGTGCATGTGCCTCTTCCTCTCTCTCTCTAAGATGGTAAGTCTTTTTGAAAAGTTTCCTACATAGCTCCTAAGGCTAATGATGCCCTTTTTGTAGGCCCTGGGACTACAGATCACTCTAGTTCCCTGGATCGTACTTCTCCCTCTAATTATTCCACAGGGCAGTCTGGTTGATTTCATAGCTCCCAAATCCTGGGCCTATCAGCTCTGATCTCTCTTTTCTGTGCTCAGTTCTAGAGCTGTATTTCTAACCACTTCTCTTTGATTATCATATAACTGTCTAGCATCTCTTGATTTTACCTCCTTTCCATTACCCAAATCTCCTCCAATTCCAGCATAAGCCTTTTTATGCTTGTATTTTTACCTAAATAATCTTCCTGCATCCAATCTCTATCACTCCAAAGCAACTTATCATCCACCAGGTATTACTTTCTGCTGAAAGCTTTTCATTATTTACCAGAATAAACTCCAAATTCTGCTACCACAGCCACTGCTGCTACTACCTAGACACATCAAAACCAAGCAACTCCCTAAAATCTACTCTACGTTTTCCTTATTTTGTGCCCTCAATTATGCAATCTGGTTTCTAAGTCACTTCTATGAAGTCTCCTTCAGCTTGCCCAGGTGAAATGAACAGTCCTCTTGAGTGTGACACATAACTCACCACACTCCTCACACTGCACTCACTCCCTCATGAGCTCCTCACGCATGCACTCAGTCACTTCAACAGATGCACACTGTGAGTGGACAGCACTAGAAGCAGCAGGTCTCTTTCCCCAGAACTCTGCAAGGGGAAAGTGAGGACTGCTGTTCCATCTCCCTGAGCCCCAGCACCTGGCTGTAGGCCTGACACATGGTGAGCTCTCAAGATGTGATCTAAATGAATGAAAGGGAGTTGTTCAACTTTTTTGAAAAGGCTTTGGTGTGAAGGACATTTGTAACAACGTCACATAAGCTCTGTATTATTTATTGTGGTTCATATTTAAGAGAACACATGGTTTTTATAATATTTCCTCAGAAAAACTGGACATAAGATGTAGGGTCTTTTTAGTGGTGAATCAGGATCTTTAAACTTACTTTATTTTGTTGCCTTTTTAAGACACTATAAACAATGAATGCAGCTCTTAACAGCAAAGATGCTGCTTCTGAAAAGTTAAAAAAATGACTACTACCACACATAGTACAGAAGTCCAATCAAAAGTTTCCAGTTGCTTTTAATCCCCTTTTTGTCACGATGTTTTTAGAAAACCAAATTTGTCTTCTGAACCACATTATATGAAGCCCTCAAATGACTATCTGGAGCACAGACAAATGTTGTTAACGTCAGAGTTGGAGCCAGGAATACTGGCTTTGAATTCCAAAGCCCTTCCTCCTATGGCATTTCTCAGGAGCCATTCAATCCCTCTGAGCCTCAGTTTATTCCTTGAGTATGTATCTTATACTCAGAGAGGCTAAAAGGAGAAATATATACTAAGAGGAAGAAGAGGACTCACTATCCACCAATACATCTTAAAATCTTTGCTGAAATTGCTACAAGAAATGTAGTTTCAGTAAAATTAAACAATCAAAGATGAGTGTGGGCAAAACATTATTAGATAGAGAACTAAAAAAAAAAAATTTTTAAGATCAGTGTTCCTCAAACTGTAGACTGCCAACACATCAATGAGTCGTAAAATCAATTTAGTTCATGACTAGCATTTAACAGTAACAACAATGAAAAATACAGATTAGAATATATATCAGTGACTACTGCCTATGTTGTTGTTGTTATGTGCTGTCAAGTCGGACCCGACTCATAGCGACCCCTCCTTGGGTTTCTGAGGCAGTATCACTACGGAAGTAGATTGCCCCATCTTCCTTCCGAGGAGTGGCTGGTGGGTTTGAACCGCCAGCCTTCTGGTTAGCAGTCAAGTGCCTTAGGCACTACGCTACCAGAGCTCCTATACTGCCTATAGTAAGGGACATGCTTTTCACACTTGTTTCAGTTATATATATGGGTATACTGGGTTACGATGTAATATATTTCTTATAGTGGGAGATGGAAAAAAAAAGTCCAAAAGACACTGCTTTTGATACATAAGAGTTCTAAAAGAGGCAGTAGGAAGAGAACCTATTCCCTCTCTTCAGACTCTGATCTCTCCTAGGAAGGCATCATTTGGGACAGGCAATTCAATAGAGCCCCTCAGAACTGGAATGAATCTGAGACTTTCAGCTAAGATAGAAATGGACTCTGAAACAACTCTAACCAAAGATAGCCCAGTAGCTTGACTGAATAACCAGGTTTTGGCAAGCACACTAGCTTCCAATGTCCTGGGTCATGGATAGACAACTTTGATTGGTAGAAAGTTCCTTCTTACATTAAGTGGAAATTTACTTGCTTGTGGCTGTCTCCAGAACTTCAGAGTAAGTATCACCCTTCTGCATTCACTGGTTAGTCAACCTAGGGCTATTATGCATATTAAACAAGACAACATGGGTAAAGAGTCCAATACAGTAGCAGACTCTTTGTAGGCACTCAATAGGAGCTCTGGTGATGTAGTGGTTAAGCCACTTGGTTGCTAACTAAAAGGATGATGGTTTGAACTCACCAGGGGCTCTGCAAAAGAAAGATGGGGTACTGTGCTTCTGTAAAGATTTACAGCCTTAAAAACTCAATAGGGGCTCTAGGAATCAGAATTGACTGGATGGCACTGAGGTTTTTTTTGTTTATTCCTATCTCTGGAGCTCCTGGGTGGTGCAAACGGCTGCTACCAGATTGGAGGTTCAAGTCCACTCACAGGTGCCTCAGAAGAAAGCCCTGGTGAAAAACCAGCCATTGGAACCCTCTGGAGTAGAGTTCTATGCTGACACACACAGGGCTGCTGTAAGTCAGAACTAACTTGGTGGCAGCTGGTATTCTTATTTTTGGGAGACACCTCTCATTTTACCTAAGTTTCTTCTTTTGTAAGTTAAGCATCCTTAGGACATCAAGTAATTAAAATTTCAGACTCTTTATATTAAGAGATGCTCATCTATCGATATTCTTAAAAAGTGTCCTGAGCAGAAAAATTCAGAAATACTCACCAGAGAGTACAATGGAAGTTATCAATTCCTTTGATCTAGTCTACACGTTTCTGCCAATATACTTAAGAGGAGGACAGTACACAAGGACTACTGGTGAGGAGAACTAAAGCCAACTAATCTGTTGCAGAGCTAGGTCTTCTTGATCTTGGCTTTATGTTAAAAGACTTTACATTTGTTCTCTATTTCATCATGTAAACCATATTGACTCATTTTCTGCTGCCAAGACTGTACTGAATCTTGAATGTATGAGCTACACACCGCAGCAAATCTTGTTGTTGTTGTTGTTGTTATATGCCGTCGAGTTGGACCCGACTCATAGCGACCCCTCCTTGGTTTCCGAGGCAGTATCACGACGGAAGTAGATTGCACCATCTTCCTTCCAAGAAGTGGCTGGTGGGTTTGAACCACCAGCCTTCTGGTTAGCAGTCAAGTGCCTTAGGCACTACATTACCAGAGCAAATCTTAGGATATGATTTCTATAAATTAGGATATGATTTCTATAAATCGGAATGTAAGAGGTGGAAAAAGGCTTTACAGGATACCTAGTGGAACATCCTATTGAACTAAAAACTGTGCTAAATTATCTACACATCTTACAATTTGTTCCTCAAATAAAAATTTGAACCACCATAGTCCCACATGCCTGTCCTGAGGCTCCTATTGCTTCATCTATCCCACAGGGTTTGATGAGTGACTACAATGGGTCCATGTCTTGCTAAAATAGCAGTACACAAGATCAGTGTTTAATAACACTGTCAGAAAAGTAAACTAGAGTCGGTATACACACATAGAGCTGAAGCTCATTGGTAATTTTCAGAAAAATCACTAAAAGGCCAAAAGATAGAATCTATTTATATAAAAGACTATTTTACAAGAGGATGAAGTTACCTATAAAATTGAAACAGAACAATTTGAAAAAAGTCTCATTTTGGCTGTAAGTTTCTTGAAAAAAGCAAGAAGGGAAATAAGATAGATTTCACAGAATTCATTAAAGAAGAAATGACTATAAATTTATTTGCTAAAATATACTTTTCCTTGGAGTTATAATCATGGAGGAATTTTCATCAACATTTTCAAAGAGGTGTTAAAGTAAGAATGGCTATTATCTTTTCTCCCCCACAATAAAAACAGCCTTTTCAAAAAGTTAAATAATTCATGCTCATTGTAATGACAGACAAACAAACAAACACGGAAGCATAGTTATCACTCAAAATTCTACTAACTTAAGATAATCACCATTAATATTTTGGTGACCATTCTTTCATTCCCTTACATGCATGTACACACACATGCACACGTACACACACACACATATACACAGACACCCTTCTGACTCAGTATTTCTCTCATGAGTATCATCCTTCACAGTGGTTTTGAGTGAAGGCACTGAAATAATATTCAAATGAACAATTCTAATATCAACCTTCTATAATGGCTGATGGGAGAAGGGTTGGAAGAAGGCAGGGATCTAAGATCCATGACTTAGATTCTAAGTCATGAAGGCATTTATGCATGGAACTGAAATATTATGGCCCAGTACTCTGATTTCTAACAGCTAACATGTCTATTGAGCATTTGCTGAAATACCTCATATATGACCTGAGGATGTGGCAGATTCTGAGCAGCAGTCAGGTTACCAGTGAATTATTTAGTAATGCTCTGAAAGTGCCTAAAATGCCACTATTCACTGTTATTGGTTATCATTCATTTATGAAACTTTTAAGAAGTGAGTTTATGTTGTCATCTCATCTGATGGGTCACTATGGGAGTAAGCAAAAGCAATGATTGCAGGTAAAGTAAATATTTCCCTCCAAATTGAGGTCTGAATCAGAGGCACTTGCAAAATTACTATGGTTCTGTATCCTAATTCATGGAAGAAATTAAATTCATTTGCCAATGATAAAGGGAGATGGCCATATTACTCATAGAACTTTGATAAAATCCCAGTGGAATTGATTTGGTTAACATTTATTGAGCACTCACTATGTACCAGGCACTGTGCTAAGCACTTTATATGCTACTTATCACAACCACCTTATGATGCAGTCCTACAAGTATCCCTGTCTTATAGATGAGTAAAATGAGTTTCACATAAATATCACTGCCCAGGTCTTACAACTAAAAAAAGGAGCTGGGATTCCACCCAGGGCTGTCTGACTCTAGAGTTTGAACAATTAACATTTGATCTGTTGAGTGAAGCCAAGACTACTCATCTGAAGTGGTCATGACATCCTCCCAACATGTAACAGGTGAGGGATACCAAAGTGCCTTTCTTACAAGTATCTAGGCAATGTCATTGGAAGTGGCCTATTGTTTCCTGACGTTTGTTTCTAAGCTGGACAATGGGTAGCCAATTAAAATAACTGTACAGGATATTTGCCATAATCAATCATTTAAAGTACAGAACATATCTGAATATGGAGAGCCCGTGAATTCCACTTTTACTAATTTAGGTTCAATTGTGGGCAATGCCCCAGAGTTGCTTTCATCTCTAATTAGTTTTTATGAATACTAGTAAAGGAAAGGACTAATAGCCTACATTAAATGCCCTCGATTTAAGGCAAAACAAGCAAACAAAAATATCCTCTCTATATCCGATCCCTGTGAAAACTACTTTTGGAAAATCATTGGATCAAAATGGACCTTAACAATCATCTAGTCCAATTTTATAACCTCCAAACACATCTAACCTACAGCAGCCTGACAAGTTTCATCCTGCTTCTGCATTCTCAGGCCTGGGTACTCCCCATGGCTAAGGCAATCCATTCCATTGTTTAGCAGTCTTACTGCCTGATGTTCTTCTTTTTATCAAGGCAACATTTGCCTGCATTCTACCTTCTGGTCCTCATATTGCCCTTTGGAGATAGAGTCTACATTTATATTTCTTTCCCGGACAGTCTTCCTAATATTTGGAAACAGCAGGTCTTCCCTAGTGTTTCTTTCCTGCAGGCTAAAATCCAAGTCACTGTCCTCTGAACACGGGCTGAGGTGCCAGTGTTTTCTACTCACAGCTCAATGTGTAGGACTCCAGGTAAGGTCTGATGAGCCACAGTAGAGCAGGGCCAACCTTTTAATGACCTGGACACTGACATTCTTTACATCATAAGACTACACTGCCTTGGCATTTGTACTTTCCTGCTAATTCACTTCATGTTTGTGGCTAATGAAAACCCCTACATCTTTTCTCAAGTGAGCTATTGTTGAGCAAAGTGAATTCCCAACCTGTGCTACTGACTAAAAACGTATGTTAATGAAATAAATTATTTTGCTAGATATGACCCCATTAAGATCTGTGTGAAATTGGTGGAAAGCCAATTCTTACCACCCTTATGAAAAATAAGTTTTTTCTGGGGGGATCATCTGGCACATGCAATCCAAAGAACAAACTAAACAATTTGTTACTTACTCATTAGCATTCAAGCTAGCTGTGGCTCTGATGATCATGTAGCAGAGTGTGAGAGCACTGAGGAGGCCAAAACTGGCAATAATAAACCATTCTTCTGTTGACAAAGGAAAGGGAGGAAATCACTCTGGGGAGAAGGCTTAAGTCAAATCGACGTCAACATTTCCCTTAAATGCAACGAAGCAGATGTCAACGGAGGTGTGAGCCAAGACTGGCCCAAGGAAGTGAAGCAGGAGGAGATTTGCCAGAGAGCTACTAACTGGAGAAGGTTAGTGGAAGTAGTGGTGAAAGCTGTAAGGGAGAAAGGAAAGCATGGCCCAACCATTTCTTCCAGTTAAGGTCCTGAGGCCTGTAAGGAGTACGGCCACCAAAAAGTGCATAGTCAAAATATGTGTATGAAATTGCATGTGGACTTTTTTTGTTGTTAATTTAAATGACAGCAAACTGAACTAGTCATACTTATAACCTTATTTCCTTCTTCATTTTGTCATTTCTGCATAGTAGCAGCACTCATTCTTAAAGAAAGGCTTAAAAGAACAGAATAATGGTTCTCAAAGGTGATGGGGGTACTCCAAGCAATCATGAACTAGACTTCCAAGACATTCACATCTACATTCTTTTCTCTTATGCATAGATTTACTAGTAATGTCTACATAAAAAGGACTTCTCACCGATGTCTCAGGAGGAGGGACTACCCTTCATGCCCACATTGCTGGGAAGCAGCACTGATTTTTCTGGCTTTGTCAAGCGGAAGTAGGAAGGGCAGGTGATTTATCAGGCAGCTGGCCCACCAAGGAGCTAAAAACCTCTGGTGCACAGTATTTTCAGAGTTCTTTAGTTTCTCTCTCTAGATTAGGATGTCAGTTAATATTTCCCCTTAAACTTTTCAAAGTCTGTATTGTCAAGGAAATATTCTAAAAACAGTACTTACTCAAAACCTCAAAAATAACCTGGGAACCAATCTGACTTCCTAAAAAGTCTTAATTATAAAATACTTCCTAGAGCACACACTAAGACTGGTTTAATAAAGTGCTACAAAGTAAAAGTCCCTGTATATCTTCATAGGGCAGGGGGAGGAAATATTTATACTTTACATCTATTGGTATATGTAAGAGCTGTGTTTAACATTTAATTTGTATTCCATGATCCCTAAAATTATATTGTTTAGGCATTTTTCTATAGAAAGATTACTACACTTTTAGTAGTTTTTAAAGGTGATGATCCTCAGAAGGTGAAGAACAACCACCCTAAGGGATTTCAGGATACTGAGTTGGTTCCATACATTTCTCTGCCCATCTTGGCTTATATTAATAAAATGCTTAGCAAAACTTTTCCTTTTAGGTTAACAGTGAAGGTTCTGTTTCTTGAATTACAAATTCCCCATCAAAAGAGTGCATTCATAAGATTTTTATTTAAGTCAAGGTAAATATTCAAGAATCCATACAAAATCTGTCTTTGCACTGTATATATTTTCCTGTATACATATTTAGAAAAAGCGTACACTGGCATTCTTAAAAAATCAAAGTTTAGTGGTCTTCATCTTCAAGGAGCTGAGCACAGCATTCTTGTTTCTTCTTAGAGACTTTCATACATATTAACAGATTAACTTGCAGAACTTCAATTACGTTTGTTCCCTAATTCTGCACATACCATTCATATTTATGTGGCATTTCAGTTATAAAAAATAGTAACCAAGAAGTAAACACCATCATAGCAAAGTCCCACAGGCCCAGAGGTATTTTGGTAGCAACCCACTGCGCCAGGGTCTCTCACACCTCTGCCCTCCTCAGTGCCGATTTAGCACAGTGCCTTGCACACAGAGGATGCTGGATGAATGCATGGTAATTGCTATGGAGCTACAGGACTTTGGAGGGAAAAACAGAGGTAGCTTTGGTCTAATTTAACCATATGTTTTTTTTTTTTTTTTAAACTAACATCATGTATAAATTCTGACAGTGATTAATCTGGTATACAAAATAGTATTTTTTATTACCCAAATAAGATTTTGTAGGGACATTTTTACATCAAATAGAACTGGGTCAGTACTTAATGTAGTAGTACGTGCTCAATAAATGTCTGATCAATGAAGGACCTACAATACCTCATTTAAAAAAAACCAACAATCAACTTTTGTCTCCTTATTACTACTAGATAAATTTTTAAAATTCTAAACCATGAAGACTAACTGATAAAGTAGGAAAAACATGAAATGCTGTTAAAATAAACCATTGGGAAATGGTAATAAATGAGCTGTATCAAAGAATAGTTTTACTTATTTCATAACTGAATGAAGGCTCCTTGAGTTTAGACAAATGACAAAATAAAACTTGGGAAATCATTTTTTTTTATACTTTTTGGTTGGTTAAAAACATGTATACTTCAACTGAACAGATCACATAATATATGAAGTCTTAATATCTGAAGGAAAACATATTTTGTAATAGATTTACCCATTTTACTAACTCCCAGAGTTAAGCAGAGTCCCATCAGGTTCAGGGCTTGAAGCTCTAGGCAAGCAACAGCATACACTGAAAAAGGCAGCACCAGGGTGGTGACACAAAGATGGGATGAAAGGTTGTTAGATGAAAACCACATGGAAAGGATGGAATTGGAGAAAAGAGCTGTTTGGTTACAGGTGAATGTCTATACTGCCCATACACACGCCGGTCAGACCACGCATACTGAATTTAGGCATTGCCATCAAACATGGGAGTGCTTTGTTCATAACCAGCCTAGACTATTTTAAAGGCAGATTACCCTTTGACTTTCTTCCTGCCTTGGGTAGTACAACTGTATCAAAGATTTAACTATCAAGAGACCAACATTAGACCAACTTCCATAAAAAGTGGCAAATAAACACCATCTCAACTATTTTGAAAGTTAAGAATTTTATTTTAATTTTTATGTTCCAATTCTAGATTCATTTTTTACTATGTTGTCTGTAGCAAGGCAAATATAAAGCACTGGTGCTCACAGTTACAAAACATACCAAAGATACTGCTGACAGCCTACATCAAATTCCAAAATTACCTTTTAAAATACCTGTTCACAATGCAATGATTATAAAACAGCTACTAAAGCAAATCTCTGAAAACTGCTCATTGAATGATATATATTACTATTAAGCACATATAAATGCACAAGCTCCTTAATGTAAAGCAAGTTTCACTATTCCAAGTATCTCTTTTAACAAAAACACACATTACTTTCTAAATTTACAGACTAAATTGCTGGCCCAGGTGAATGAATTCTTCTCTTGAGCAGTCACCACAGGCTAAACACAAGAAGCAAAAACTGCCTGCACCTGGGGCAAAGGGTCCCCACTTACTTGTTACTGCAATGTTGATTTCTCCTGTTCTAGGAGTAAGTTCCCCATCCTGAGGAAGAGGCGATATCCCCGAAGTTCGAAGTGGCTCGAGGCCAAGGGAGTTGTCGCTGGCAAGGTCACCAAGGGCTGATCTTCGGTTAACTGCTTGGGTTCTGGTGAGCCTTTCCATATCAAATGCTACGTTATCATTACATGGCAAATTTGGCTGCAAAATATTTCCATATTAAAAATAATGAGAAGAATAATAAATCTTTTGACAAATCTGTTTGACACTCTACAGAAAAGATGTAACTAAGTTCTTCCCATGAGATTTCCTATCATTTCTTTCTCTATCTCTCCTTCCCACTCTTACCTACAAGTTTTTCTACAAAAGGAACAGACTATCTCCTCCCAAGAAAGGTAAAAAGTAGAATCCCAATACACTGCAGAATTGAGAACACTGGCCACTGCATGTTTATAAAGAAATGACATCCTTTTGTGGACACACCTCATAGGCAAAAGGAAGTCATGCTGTTAGTTGCCACTGAGTCAATTCCAACTCACGGCAAACCTGTGTGCAGAGTAGAAGTTCTCCACAGGGTTTTCAAGGCTGTAACCTTTTGGAAACAGATCACAAGGCCTTACTCTGAGGAGGCCCTAGTTGGGTCTGACCCATCAACCTCTTGTTAGCAGTATAGCACTTAACCATTTGTGCCACTCACTGACTCCTTTATTAAATGACAAACCAAAAAAAAAACAAAAAAAAACAAAAAACCAAACCCACTGCCACCAAGTTGCTTTCGATTCACAGCAACCCTGCTGGGTTTTCAAGGTGGTAGGTAAATCTTTACCGGAGCAGATTGCCTCATTTTCTTGCTGTAGAGAGGCTGGTGGGTTTGAACTGCTAACCATCTGGCAGTGCCTTAGGCAGTATGCTACCAGAACTCCTTAGTAAACTACAAGCCTTCAATTAAAAAAATTATGAACTCTATTTCTTTGGCTCTTATGTTAAAGTTGAGGGATAGCAGGTAACAGAATACTGCTTTCATCTTGTTAACTTCTCTCTAATGCTCCATTTATCTAGTAATCAGTTTCTAAATATCTTTTACCTTTAAACACAAGTAAAGCACACATCCAAGAGCAGATCAAAGTTAAAGACTTTGGAACTGTAAGAAAATGCTCTGTTTCAAAACCTAAGCATCTAATTTTGAAGGCGAGCTGGTGACAAAGCCTACCAATCACAGTATAGGCATGAAAGTCTTCTTATTTAACAATATGGATATGTGGCATCCCCAGTAAACTTCAGTTCTCTTAGCCTCCAATGGATAGCACTCTAGAAGCAGACACAGGAAGGCTGGCTGGCTGAGAAGAGCTTACATACAAAAAGTGAGTCAACCAAATCTAGAACCAATGGCTTCCTGGGAAAAGAATTCTGTTCTGTATCACCCCAGAGCCCTATTAAAAAAAAAAAAAAAAAAATCACAGCACAGTGTAGTGATTGATACTACAGTAATGCCCAAGGAGCTCCGGTGGCACAATGATTAAGTGCTTGGCTAACTGCCACAGTGGGTCACTTTGAGTCAAAAATTGACTCGATGGCATCTAACAACAACAATAAAACTGATGCCCAGTTAGATGAGTTTATGATGTTTATTATATTTCTGGAGCCATGGTATACTATATTTTAGAAGAATTTCTATTAAGTATAGAGGGGGAAATTATTAGCCCTTAAAACAAAACAAATAAGCCTAGAGGCAATGAGAAAGGCTAAGTTAATATTTTCCAAATGTCTTTATATGCTGATCATTATGGCATATGCTTAATGTTAAACCAGTCTCAACTGGGGGTGACGTTTCTTCCCAAGGACATTTGGCGATGTTTGGAAGCACTTTTGACTGTCATGACTAAGATGTTGTGCTACTGACATTTAATGTTAGAGGCCAGGGATGCTGATACACAGCCTCAATGGACACCCTCTTGCCTCAACAAGGAATGATCTGGCTCAAAATGTCAATAATGCCAAGTAAAATCCTGAGCTAAAGTAAAACTTCATAGATGTGGAGCATCTCAATCTCAGAGACAGGATAAATGAGGCATCACCGCCTAAGTAGACTGAACTGAACCTGTAACCCGACACTGTATTTCAAATAGAACTATTCAGATCTTCTTTAGGTTGCAAACATAAAATAATGAGCACTTCAGTTGAGTCAAACTAAACTTCTTGCTCCATAAGGAGATTATTCATCCATTCTTTCTTGAGATCAGAAAGTATTTTATTTTCTTCTAAAAAGCAGTAACCTTGGATATATAAACCATAAACCAAACCCACTGCCACAGAGTTGATTCTGACTCATAGTGATCCTACAGGACAGAACAGAACTGTCCCCATTGGGTTTCCAAGACTGTAAATCTTTACAGGAACAGACCACCTCATCTTTTTCCCACAGAGGAGCTGGTGGGTTCAAACCATCAATCTTTTGGTTAGCAGCCAAATGCTTCAACCAGAGCTCCTTAACCTAGGATATACACTTCTCTTAAACAAGGAAATGTAGAGTCTTCAAGGTCTTTAAAGAGTCAACATGGATTTGGCACCTGTCAAACCTGAAGTACCAACTGCAGCACACCTGGCTAAAGCACCGGCCAGGCTGTCAAAGGTTTCTCCCAGAGCTTCAGTCATTGCCCACTTTCACTGTTTGCAACTTACTAACACATTAGGCTAAGGCCAAACTTAGGAGGAAGGAAAAAAAGTGATTATATAGTCTCCTATTATGCTGAATGCAGAAAAACTACTGGACCAAAACTTAAAACTCTTTATCCTATTCTTTTTTCTTTTAAAGATATTCAAATAAAGAAAAATCATGTCCTTCTCTCTACCTCAGTTCTTCATGACACACTCACCACTTCAATAGAAGCATACTTTTAAAAGTGAAGGTTACTATAGTTATTGATATTCTTTTCCAGGAGTTCCCTCAGATGGATTAGACATTAAGTAATCTGGAAGAAAGACACTGTTGGAGTAACTGTGTTTTCTTGTGAGATTCAGTTATGCTTCTTATTATGCCAATTGTTATACAATGTTTGTTAGGATAATACACAATAGTAGTAACAAATTAGGACACATACCACAATTCCCAGGGCCTTCAAAATATTAAGTTTGCACATAGGACAGGTACAATGTTCACTAAGCCAGGGGTCCACGCAGGATTTGTGGAAAACATGCCTATAAAATAATGGAAAATTGCATCACAAATTATATATGGAAAACTTAGTAGCCCCAAATGCAAATAAGTGGAATTTTTAATTAGTTTGTTTTTCCTCCCTTTTAGGACATATCTGCAAGTCCCAAGACACAAAGAAATACTGGAGACTTACTAAAATATAATTTGCAAAAAATCTCTTGAACTTAGTATTATGTATCTATACTGCTATGTAATGAAAACTGATAAGCAGGATTTGGCTGTTTGGACTTTTTATTTCATGAAATTTTAAAATGGACTTGAGGAAACTTAGGAAATTTATTAAGACAGGAGATCATGAGTCATACTTTAAAGATTCAGCTATGTTTTCTATAATAGCTAAAGCAGAAAAATGGAATTTCAAAAGATATTAAACAAAAATTGAATCAAGAGTTCTCTGCACATCTATAAGTTTGGCAGATGTTATTTCTACATATGTATTTGTATGTGCTATAAGAATATTCACATATATAATAGAGCTAACAGGGCAAAGTTATGATAACTTTTTAGCCAAAGTCAAACACCCTGAGTGAGTTGCTGGGCCCACAGGTTCAGGACCATGGTCAAGGGGAACATCAAGCTCAATTGGCATAACATACCACACAAAAATATTGTTCTACAGCCTACGTCGGTGAGCAGCAACTAGGGTCTTAAAAGCTTGCAAGTGGCCATCTAAGATGGGACAATTGGTCTCCCTTAGTCCAGAACAAAAAAGAATGAAGAAAATCAAAGACACATGGAAATTATTAGTCCAAGGAACTAGAAGACCATGAGAACCTCAGCCTTCATGACTGTGCGACCATAAGAACTAGATGGTGCCTGGCTACCACTGTCAACATTCAAAAAGGGATCAGTATAGGAGATCCTGGACAGAGTGGAAGAAAAATGTGGAACAAAACTCAAGATTATAAAAAAGAGCAAGACTGATAGAGCCTGGCGAAACACTCAAGACTATGGCCCCTAGTTACCCATTGGGCCTGGAATTGAACTCACTCTTGTGGCTTCCGACATTATATTTCAAAGAGAGAGAGGCATGAAGAAATGGTGAACATTTACACCAGTTAAGTGTACTCCTTAGAATGATCATCCATGGGAGATGGTAAGGGCAGTACTTGCTCAGAGGGCAGGAATGCATAGGAAAGGACAAGGAAAAGGTAATCACAGGGAGGAATTGGGAAGAGAGCTGTTACATTATGCGGATTGCAATCAATGTCATGAAACAAAATGTGTATTAACTGTTGTATGGAAAATGAATTTGCTCTGTAAACTTTCACCCAAATCACAATTTTAAAAAAAGTGAAAAACAAAAAAAGCAAGGATTTGCTGCATAATTATTAATTTAGTTTCATGGAGATCTGTTAAAAAGTCACCTAAGTATTATTTCAAAACAATTCTAAGCAATCTATGTTAGCAGTAAAATTTACAGAGCAGTTGGAACTATTTTTAGGGTATACTGTTCTTAAGAATCAAGTAACACTTGATTTTAGCCAAAATGTTAAAGGGGAGGATGGGTGATATTTCTCTTATTCAAGAGAGCAGAAAGCCACATCTTTATGACTGGAAATCAGTCAGTCATGGAGGGTTTTGCATTCTTAGAAAAGGAACTTGTGCCCTTCGGAAGAGAGTAAAGACTTTGTGGAAGGTGCTGAAATGATTCCCCAAGTTCAAGTACCCTGGCATGGTAGCCCTGAGAAGCTGAAATGAAGCCATATAGAGTCCTAGAATACTGGCCAACTGGGAAAGGGCAGGTCTTCAGGGTGTTTTTGGAAAGAGTGCTATAATCTGAGTCTTGGGATAAAATAATGTACAGGAACGTTGAGAAAGATACCAAATTGACCCATGGTATGCCTTTAAAATGTTCACTGTTAATAGATAATTTAATGTTGCTATAGGAGCTCTGGGGAACTCTGGTAGCGTAGTGCCTAAGGCACTTGACTGCTAAACAGAAGGCCGGTGGTTCAAACCCATCAGCTACTCCTCGCAAGGAAGATGGGGCAATCTACTTCTGCAGTGATACTGCCTCGAAAACCCAAGGAGGGGTTACTGTGAGTCAGGTCCGACTCAACGGCACATAACAAAAACAACAACAACAACACAGGAGCTCTGGTAGTGTAGTGTCTAAGGCACTTGACTGCTAACCAGAAGGCTGGCGGTTCAAACTCACCAGCCACTCCTCAGAAGGAAGATTGGGCAATCTACTTCCGTATTTGATACCGCCTTGGAAACCCAAGGAGGGATCGCTATGTGTTGGGGCCGACTCGATGGCACATAACAACAACACAATGCTGCTATATATCAAAAAACCCAAACTCATTGCCACAGAGTCTATTCCGACTCATAGTGATCCCCGGTGAGTTTCTAAGGCGAGTTTCTAATCTTTATGAAAGCAAACAGTCTCGTCTTTCTTCTGTGGAGCAGCTGGTGGGTTCAAGCCACCAACCTTCTGGTTAACAGCAAAATGTCTTAACCACTACATCACCAGAGCTCCTTAATGTTGCTATATAGATTTGTTTTAAAATGCAGTTTTGATTTAAAAAGGTCTTCAAAACTCATTGTTGTGAGCTTTGGAATAAGCATTATGCTTACAGCTTCAGCCTGAACATTATATACACACCTACCTATTACCAGTTGGTGGTCTTGTACTCATTTCTTTGGGGGTAAGAATAAAGATCTTGGGCTCTGAGTCCATCAATCTAGTCTTAAACTTGTATGGAATACAGTTAACCAGACCCTCATCATGGCTGAAGGCTTTTATTTAAATCTTTAAGGATTCTACTTAAGGAATGGGAAGCCACCACCGGAAAGTCCTGAGGATTTTGTTCGTACTGGATGGGGGTAGGATGGCTGGAAAGGTGCTGTAGGCCAGTTCTAGGTAGGGTGACAGGGATTTAGCCAGTTGACAGGTGATAGAAGAAATAAGGTTATGTGATCTGTTAAAGGGCCAGGGGAAGATCAGGGCTGCTTTGGTGGGTGGGTAGCAGCTGAATGTAACTGTTGCGAGAGACACTGGTGAAAAAAATCAAGTAGCAGTGAGTAACTTTGGGTAAATAGTGGTTTGTCTTTTGTCACTCTCTGTTTTCAACAGTGCTTTTATTTTTTCCCTTTTCTCATTGTCCTTCTTTTCTTTCATGTTACTGATTATTGAGAAAGAATAAAGTTGTAAAATCTCTTTTTAATTTTTAAAGCTCCATGAACTGAGTGTTCTTGTCCTATCTGTTCCTTTAACTTTACATTATCAATAATTAATTATGGACTTTTCTTATGTTGGGGTTCTTGAATAATTTTTTCCCTTTAGGTTTATTGATCGAAAAGTGCTACCCACCCCCCAATATTACTAAACACATATAACCTCTCCTCGAAATGTGGGGTATTTTAATGAAGAACAACAAAGACTAATTGGCTCTTTAGGAACAAACAAAAAGGTTTCCTTTCCTTAGCTAGCTCAAAATCTGAAGAAAGTTTTTCTTTCTTTCTTTTCTTTTTTAAAAAAAAACCTTTTCCTTTAGACTATCCATTTACCCCATCATTTTGTTATTCCCTCACCCTCTTGGCAAAATTAAGACATTTTCCCCTCCTCTCCTTTTTCCTTCCTAGATCTAGCAGCTACTTTTCCAGATTCCCACACAGTCCAGTTTCTGTACATCTTGTCCAGGTGTCTTGATTGTCTAATTCCCACAGGACATCTTTCTCTTCTGAAAATAAAACTGAGAAATTTTTCTCTTTACTGACCCTCTGACAAAAGCCCAGTGCTCTCCTTCCTGTCACGGATGTAATCTTTGGGACAAACTGCTCTGTACTGTTGTCCCCTTTTCATCATCACCCATTCTCTTAACCCTCTTGCTTCTGTTTCCTCAGTTCTACGGTTTCACCAAACTCAATGTGGCCTTTCCCTTCCTTCTAGGCAAAGCTCTGCAACTACAACTGTCTATCTGTCTGCAAACCATCCTTTCTGATTCCTAGCTTTTTCATCTGTAAAACTTCAGGGGGCAGAGGATAGTGGGGAAGGGTGTATTTGGAGAAGTAAGTAAAAAATTGTGTGGGATTACTTGGAAAAGTACCAAGGACTGCGCAAATGAAAAGTATTGTAAACATACACTGAGGCAAAGTAATGCTAATTTTTTATATGGTACCCCAATAAATGGTTAAGACATTCTTTCAATGTGCTTCAGGCCCCAGACATGCCAGTACCCACATGCCCAGTCCCACCAACATCCACAGAAGGACCCCAGAAGAAATTACTTGGGGCAATCCCAACCCTTAAAAGAAGCCCCTTCCCATTATTATAATGAAACAGATTCAAATAATGAAAACCCACATAAAAGTAGAAAAGGGCCCACCATATTAGGGTTGGGTGGTGTACTGGGCTGGAAAGCCGGTAATGGGTTGAGGAATAGTGAAACAGGAAAACCCCAAGCACATTAGAGCGTCAACAAAGAAGTCCTTTACTCCTGAAGAAAGACTTTGGCATACAAAATGTGAAATGGATAGAACAATAAAAGGAATAAAACCAGTAATTCTGAAATCAAGTACTCTCCCCTCTCCTACTTCCCACAATGCCACACTACAGAACGATCAATGGGATGAGGAGCCTGTATCAAAGGTGAGTTGTTTTCATAGCTCTGTAGCCTCTGGGTGTCATGCTAGAACTTGGGAAATACAAAAGGATCCAAGATCATTAAAGGTCAGAGACAAGAACTCTTTTCTCTTACCCTGGGGTGGCACACTGTTTAAATCAGGCCCTCCCTTCTGGGGGAAGGAGGTGATCACAGTGACTCCTCAAGCCAGCCAGCTGACTGACTCATTTTAGCTTCTAAAGTGGCATCACAGACCAAGCTGCAGCTCTCCACTCCTGAAGACGTATTCTTAACTACTAACAAATTTTGTGGCTGATGTTAAATAAAACAGGTCTAAATAAAGGTAATGTTTTTTCAGTTTTTAAGACATGTTGGCTAACATTCAAAGGATGATCAACTGTAATCAAATGACACAAGCAGGAGGTCCCCAAAGCAATGCCAACTGCCATCTGTCCACAATAAATTAATGTGACAGAAGATGAAAAGTAAAGGTCATGGAACAAAAAATCAGCAACCCATGAGAGGCTGACAGCTACAGAGAGTTTTAGTTCTCTCTCCAGACAAACTTGTTTAAAATTAAAGACAGATATACAAAAAGGCACCTGGGCTTTTCTTCACCCCTTAATGAGGTAAAGAGACAGTGAGTGTAGATCCTTTAAAAGTCTGCCTTGAAGGGCAGATGCTGCAGTATGACATTTGGAGAGTGATGGCTTTGAAAGAAGGAGCCCCAGTGGTGTAGTGGTTAAGGCATTTGGCTACTATCCAAAAGGTTGGTGGTTCTAACACACCAGCTGTTTTGTGGAAGAAAAATGGGGCAGTCTGCTTCTGTAAAGATTTACAGCCTTAGAAATCCAATGGGGGTCACTATGAGTCCGAACTGACTCAATGGCAGTGAATTTTATTTTTGGGTTGGCTTTGAAAGAGTTTAATAATGGGAAGAGCAAATGCTTGAGCATGATTAAATGCTGATGAGTAGAGACAGGAAGAATAAAAGCCAGAGGAGGAGGGAGCAGACAGTCAATAGAGCAAGGTCCCCGAGGAGGGAAGAGAACTGGCTCACAGAGGCCCAAGTGGAAAGAGCAGCTTTAGCCCAAAGGAGGGTTGCCCATACTCTGACGGGAAAAAAGGGTACAAGGGAGGTACAGAGGCAGGCATGCCTGAAGGCTAGAGGTCTGAAATTGAGGGAGATACCCATTATTTTCTCTCTGAAGTTGACAGTAAGGTCAGATGTTTAAGGAACATGAATATACGTGAAAGTGCTGCTGTGATAATGGGTAGAGCCAGCAAAGGGAAGAAGAAAACATTTCCAGGCTATGCGCAGGACCCAGCTGAGATGGAGCCCACTGGCTGAAGTGCCAGCTTAGTGTCTGTGCGGAGTCCTGTGGGAGGTCAGTGTGATACCAGAGTCGCTTGGCAATGTGAGATCAGGGAAGATTCAGCAGGGGCAACATCTAGGCTTGGTTTCAAAGACCACAGAGATTTAAAAAAAAAAAAAGGAAAGGAAGGTCATCCTAGGCAGAAGAAATAGTGTAAGCAGAAGCACAAGATAAATGCAAGGTCCCTGAGGAGGGAAGAGAATTGGCACGCAGAGGCCCAGGTGGAAAGTACCTGAGAGGCATCATTTGGAAACAAGAGCTCTGGAGAAGACTCGGAATAAACATGAGTATTTTGTAAGTAGCCATCCTCTAGGTCAGTGGTTCTCGATGGGGGGAGATTCTATCCCTCAGGGGTACATTTTGGCAATGTCACAACCAGGGTTGTTGTTGTTGGAGCTACTGGTATCTTCTGGGTATATTGCTAAATATCCTGTAACACACATGCCAGTCCACAGAACAAAGAATGATCTAGTCCAAAATGTCAACAGTACTGAGGTCAAGAAACCATGATCTAAGTCAAGTTGTCAAAAGGTTGCTGAATGAGTACAGTTAAATTTTACTACATCTAAGCCTCATATGTTGTCATGATTTCAGTTAGATTAAATGTTCTGCTGAGCAGGCTGTCCAACATAGTTCAGACAGAGCTGTAACTTGCTGAGACTTAAGATGTTAGAGTAAGAAGCATCAGTTGGCTCCAAAGCCACCTGGAGAACTCTGATATATGGTCAGGCAGTAAGCATTTCTTGTCAAAGACCTGGAACTGACAGACAACCAAGTGAATAGTACAGTAACTATGGAGGCAAAGAAAGTCCATTGAATTTACCAAAAATTCTAAAATTCACAACTAAAACACAAACAGAAAAGGGTGAGAACTACTTCACTAGTGGTAGGTGCAATCATGAAAAGGAAGAGATCAATCAAAACTCTGGATCTCAAAACAGGACATGGCTTTGCAGTATCAAACCAATCAGATACTTATTAAAAGTAAAAATGCCTGGGCCCTGCAAGGATGTGTTTTTGAAAGCTACCCTCCTGATTCTGACATATAGTCAGGTTTGAAAAGTACTGGACTAAGTTAACAAAGAGAACTAAGTATGAAACTTTGAAAAAGCCAACACTATGGGATGGAGAGAATGGGAAGTAAGCTTCCCAGAATAATCTATTTTAGGTTGAGGCTCACTTGAGGAAAAGACGCTCAATAACCAGGAATGGCTTTGGAGGCCTTTATTTCTAGGTCCCAAGGGGTTACGAGGGACTGACAGGAAGACAGAGATTTTCGAAATACTTGGCTTCTTCCTGGTCATTATGGTGTCAAAAAAATCTGTGCAGGTAAACACACTTTTTAAAAGCAGGTAATATGTTGAATGCAAAACAAACTCTGCTCTGTAAACTTGTACCTAAAGCACAATAAAAAAAAAAGTAAATAAATTAAAGCAGGTAACAGCTGGTTATCCCTTATAATGCATTCAACCAATTATTTTCCTGATTTATACCTGTATCTACATTTGCATTAGGCATTATGTTTTTAGACTGTTAAATGACTGCGAGTGACACTAAATTGATCATTATATAATTTAACTTTCTTAGGACAGTATCTTTTCAGTTTCATAGATTTTCCTTTACATATACACTAGAATGACTTGACTTTCAGAATCTTGATTTTTCTATTTCAGTATATAGCATTATTCTTAGGTTACAGGATTTTAAAAAGACAAATTTTCCTTGGCTCAAAACAGATTACTTGGTGAGCAAATAGCATCAGAAGGCTTATGGTCATAACTACTAACAATTATTTTCTCATTTTAGGCACTATGCCACCAGAGCTCCTATTATAAGGGCAGAGTTGTAGTCAGTGTGTTTTAAAGAGAAGAGGGGGGAAGAAAGAAGAAGTATCTTTGACTTTACATTTCTCAGCAGGTAATTTATACTTTTCTAATTGACATTCAGCATCATTGACTTAATATTTCACATTCCCCAGAGGCTGCAGAAATTAACATGCTTACGAAGAAAATGTGCCTTTTAATTGCGCCGAAGTACAGGCCATCATTCTCCTTTTGGAGGGAGGTACGTGACACTATATAAGAAACACTGACAGGAAGGCGGACCAGGGTGAACACTGGCTCTGCCATTTCTGAATTGTGTGACCCTGGGAAATGACTTTGGCTTCATTATCCTTCATTGTACCGAGGAGATAAAAATACTTACACACTTAGGACAGCTGAGAGGATTATAGGAGACAGCAAATGTAAACTGCACAGAGTATCTGACCTCAAGCAGGCATGCAGCAAATAGCAGTGCTTCCCATTTGGTATAATCTCAGTTCAGAAAAAGACTTAATCCAAATCCCTAGTATCCACAGTCAAGTGAACACTGCTGAGGTTTTACTGGAGGGCCTAGTGATGTACTCTGATGGAAGATGGAGATGAATAATGTGGCTGTTTTTTAAACCCAAAATCATCACAAATAAAACTCAACCTTAATGTCTTATGCCACAGATGAGTTTAGAGTTGGACATGTGTTTTCCATAACTAGAAAAGATTTGTGAGATCTGCTCTTGGGGCAGCACTGCTCACTGTAATTTCCCACTTCAGCAATGTGCATTAAACCCGACTGTCAGACAGGCACTGTGCTAGGTGGCTCTCAAAGGCAAGTGGGATACCTATTCTGAGTGGGTTCTCTGCATGGGAGACATACAGGCCACATCAGCAACATTCTTATTTAAACAAAGTTGACATACTTGCAGGGGAGAATTCGGACAACATCATTCTGCTTATAGCTTTCTATGCAGACTGCACAATGATCAAAGTCAGGGTCTGTTTCCTGAAAAGAAAAGCAGAGAAACAAGTCATGCTAAAAGTATACAAACAGAGGAGATACAATTCAGCTAAGAATTTTCCTGTGGCAACTACTATAAGCAAGTGATTGTAAAATGAAAGGTTATTAAAAAAAATGTAGTAAGTTATCAAGTGCTATCAATATATTGACCCAAATTATGACATTATCTGTTTTGGTTATCTAGTGCTGTTCTAACAGAAAACACCACAAGTAAATGGCTTTAACAAACAGGGATTTATTCTATTACAGTTTAGGAGGCTAGAAATCTGAGTACAAAGTGCCAGCTCTAGGGGCTGGGAGAAGGCCCCTTGACCTTGGGCTTCAGCTCTGCCTCTTGCTCCCGGTCCACTGGAGTTGGAGGTATCATTTTTTGTTTTAAATTTTTACTGTGATTTGGGTGAAAGTTTACAGAGCAAATTCATTTTCCATACAGCAGGTTACATACACTGTCTCATGACACTGACTGCAATTTCCCACAATGCAACAGCTCCTCTCCCACTTCCTCCCCGTAGCTACCTCTTCCTTGTGTCCTTCCCTCCCATGCACTCTTGCCCCCCTGAACTGTCTTCCTATGCATTACATTGCCCTTCTATTCCCCCAAGATTGATCTACCTAATATAAATGTTCAGCTCATGTGCCTGTCTTTTGTTTGGCTGGAAGCCACAGGAGTGGGTTCAATTTCAGACCTGAAAGGCAGCTAGGGGCCATAGTCTTAGGGGTTCCACCAGGCTCTATCAGACCAGCAAACGTGGTCCCTTTTTTTTTTTTTTAAATGATTTTGAGTTTTGTTCCACATTGTTCTTCCACTCTATCCAGGATCTCCTACAAAGATCCCTGGAGGTGTCTCTTAACTCAGGCAGCTGCTGACTGCTGAGGCTGACAAATCCAAGGCTGAAAAGTAAAACGGCACAGTTCCAGGATTATCAAACAACATGGCAGGCCACTGATATGAAGACTCAGCCAACTGCAGGATCCCGATGTGCCAGAAAGTTCAGAGATCTTTCTCAGAGTGTCTTCTTATATACTGGAAGCAGACCACATCCCTAAAGCAGCTACTCAGCTGCTCACAGTAGATTCTACCACTGAGTTGATTAGCAGTCTCATCATGGGGAATAACTACATCGTCAAAACCAGGCTCAGCCAAGTTGACACACAACCTTAACTACCACAATATCTAAGCCAATCTACTTTGTTTTTAAACTATGTTGTGACAATTAATGTAAAATCTGTTTATGAAATGTCTTAAAACAACTCAGATTTCCAGATTTCTTCAAGATCCAAACCAGCAATAACCTTGCATCATCCTTTTATCCTCTCTCCACCATTCTTGCAAAACAGCTGGCAGAAAATTCTAGCCATTAAAGCAATGATCAGTCATCTCAATTTTTAGACATTTTTCATATACTCACAATCATGTTACAATTTTCTTCCAGTTTCTGGAAAAGCCCCAGCCTAAAGCATATCATTAACAAATCCTTTCACTGTGTTCAGCCAGAGCTTTCTTATTATGCTTTTCTAAATGCAAATTTATTTCACACACAAAAAAAGCAAACTTGTAATACTGCCACAGAGCTGGATCTCCATCATTGCATTCTGTAGCTATTTTACACTCAATTCCATGTAACTACCTGTTATGTTCTAAGAACTACAGAAATAAAATTGGATAAGACACTCACAGGTCACACTGCTAAGTAACAGGCAGATTGTTGTTAAAAGGCCTCATCAAGTGGCTCAGACAGTAAAGGGTACAGAAGATGAGAATTAGACAAGACATCCTGAGTGGCTGCAGAGAAAAACATCGAGTTGTATCTTAGAGGACAGATGGGATTTGGACGAGAAGAGAGTGAGAGGCTATTCTAAGCAGGTGGAAGGCAAGAGGTGGAGATGATGTGGCAAAGTAACCAGTCAACAGACTAGCTGCACTGCTGGGGGAATAGGTGCTAAAGTGCTTGAAGGAAACTGACATGATAAAAGCAGTTATCTCAGGAGATTAAACTGATATATACAAAATGGCTGAGGATGGCAAGAATGGCTGCAAGGAGTCTGTGCATGAGCTTCTAGGGTTAAATGATTCTGGACCACAGGAGTGACAGAAGGCAATGGAGAGGCTGGGGTGGAAATGACAATTTTATTGGAGAAGATCTAGTAATCAACTAGAGTCATAAAAAAAGAGAAGTAAACCTCAAGTATGTATTGGAGATTTTTAAGAACGACAGAAAAGGTGGTTAGAGAGGGTGACCTGGTAAAAGATGCTAAGCTGGGTTTTGAACATCTCGAGTGTGGGGTAACATCTAAGAAATGCCTAGAGAACCCCCTAAGAAGACTGACTGAAGATGAACATAGAGGTGACGGCTCAAGTCAAGAGGCAGGCTGCAGAGAGAGGAGGAGAGGACTAAGGATGGAATCCTTGGTAAGAGAGTAAGTTGAGGAAATCTAGCCCCAAAGAAAAGGATAAAGGAGAAGAACTAAGGAATAGTAAGAACAGAAAATCAACCTTGGTTCATAGTAAGAAGTTTAATAATACTAACTGAAAAATGAGCCCAGTTAAATACGTTATTTTGTTCCAAGCATTACTTAACAGAGAGAAAGAATGAAATTTCTTTGGAATTCCAGAACATTTGATTGTGCTCGTCAGGAACCTGTACATAGATCAGGAGGCTGTTGTTCAAAAAGAACAAGGAGATATAACATATACTATACTAGCTTTGCTGGTTGCCTAGAGAAATGACATCTGGTCACCTAGCATGGCAATATGAGGCACACACAGGAATTCCAAATGGCTTAATTTTAATAACTCTGATTATTTATATTCCTTTACAAAATCTTTTGAGTTAGTTTCTTTTAGCTAATAGCATCATATAAATCTTAGCAAAAAGTATTCAAGTGTCATTGAAGGATTCCTTTTTCAATTCTGAAACTAAGGAAAGAAAATGTATCAGACTATCTAAAAACAAAGGCAAGAAACAAGGTGAGCCCTGTGACTGTGCTAATTTACTGTCTGGCAAGACTTTCTAGGCCACTGTAGTACAGAGAAGGGGAGGGTCAATCAGTCCAGTGTTCTGAGTAAGTTAAGAAGACAGAGTTTGGCTTTCAGAGATATCAAGACAGCTGCAATTTGCAGGAAAAAATACTGAAGGTGACAGAGCTTCACAGAGAGAAACTTCAGAGGCTTACAGAGAAGTCTTCAGTTTTTGAGTACTGATCTGCACATGCCTGGGAGTAAACTATCCAAGGTCAAGGAAAGAACCACTGGAAAGGAGTAGGTGGAACAAGACCCAGAGCTTACAAAGGGCTGAATATAGTTCATGTTCTAAGAAGCCAGAGTGGACAGGCTTCTTAATGAAAGGGGCATTGAAAAGAGAATGGAGTCCTCAAAAAATTATTACTTTGGTAGCAGGGGCAAATTAGCCATAGACTAAAGCCTTCTCTCCAGAACTGGTCTGTCAGTTTGTCATACTATGGAGGCTCACGTGTTGTTGTGAGGCTGGTATTGAAATGCCACCGGTATTTCAAATACCAGCAGGGTCATGCATGATGCCCATGTTTTAGCAGAGCTTTCAGATGAAAACAGATGGGGAAGAAGGAAAGGGAATCCACTGCTCAAAGAACTGGACAGTGAAAACCTTATGAGTAGCCCTGAAACAATGTCTGATATAATGCTGGAAGATGAGCCCCTCAAATCAGAAGGCACTTAAAATACAATTGGGGAAGAGCTGTCTCCTCAGAGTACAGCAGACCTTAATGATGTGGATCGAGTAAAGCTTTCAGTACCTCCATCTGCTGATGTGGTACAACTCAAAATAAGAAGAAACAGCTGCAAACATCTATTAATAATCGGAACATGGAATGTACGAAGTATAAATCCAGGAAAACTGGAAGTCATCAAAAATGAAATGGAATGTATAAATATCGATATCCTAGGCATTAGTGAGCTGAAATGGACTGGATTTGGCCATCTGGGGTGAGACAACCATATGCTCTACTATGACAGGAATGACAAACTGAAGAGGAATGGCATGGCATTCATCATCACAAAGAATGTTATAAGATCTATCCTGAAGTACAATGCTATCAGTGATAGGATAATATCCATACCCCTACAAAGAAGACCCATTAATACTACTATTATTAAAATTTATGCACCAATCACCAAAGTCAAAGATGAGGAAACTGAAAATTTTTACTGCAGACACTCACTCGGCTATGCCACAAGAATTGGAAGACAGATAGCTAGCCAACCGACAGGAAGAGATCCTTATTTGTACCTCTTCCAAAGACAGGTGATCCCACAGAAGTGTGGAAATTACTGAACAATATCATTAATATCACATGCAAGTAAAATCTTACTGAAGATAATTAAAAAACAGCTACAGCAGTATATTGGCAGAGAGCTTCCGGAAATGCAAGCTGGATTCAGAAGAGGATGTGGAATGAGGACTATCAATGCTGATGTCAGATGGATCTTGGCTGAAAGCAAAGAAAACCAGGAAGATGTTTACTTGTATTTTACTGACTATGCAAAAGTATTTAATTGTTTGGATCATAACAAATTATGGATAACATTGAGAAGAATGGGAATTCCAGAACATTTGATTGTGCTCACCAGGAACCTGTACATAGATCAGGAGGCTGTTGTTCAGAAATAACAAGGAGATATGACATGGTTCAAAATCAAGAAGGGAGTGTGTCAGGGTTGCATGCTTTTACTATATGTACTCTGTCTGTATGCTCAACAAATAATCTGAGAAGCTGAACTACATGAAGAAGAACGTGGCATCAAGATTGGAGGAAGGCTCATTAACAACCTGTGATATGCAGACAAAACAACTTTGCTGAAAATGAAGATGACTTGAAGAATTTACTGATTAAGATTAAAGATTTCAGTCTGCAGTATGGATTACATCTTAACATAAAGAAACAAAAATCCTCACAACTGGTCCAATGGGCAGCATCATAATAAATGGAGAAGGCTGAAGTTGTGAAAG